TTAGTTTTCTGACACGCAATGGATGCAGCCTGAAATAATTCAGTGGCTTCATTTGATCAAAGAAACATCAATATTTCTGTTTCTCAAACTAAAAATCACTTCTCATTATTTTGGTTAAACCGTGGCTTTTGTCTTGCCGTTCTTCTGAAGGGGCCACAGTTATGGGGTTTATACTGATTCTTCTATCTAAGCAGTGTCTATCTACAGTTCTTGCTATTTTAAATCCCCTCAGCTTTATCTCTGAAATGTCTGCCTTTATGAAACTGTTTAATGATTTCCTCCAACAAACACGTCAGGCCTTCATGATCAAGTTGTAGTTTTAGGTCAATTACACAATGATACACTCTGTTTACCAACTGGGGATGCAGAAGACAATTGCTTGTGCTGTGCTTTATTTAGAGGCTTAATGGAATGCACAATTGTTGTCTTTCATGCATTGGTGCATCAGAGCTTCTGTTTGTAATGTGATGAAACTTTAAGAGTTTTGTGATTGATGAATAACTTTCAAGGCATCGTCCATTTCTAGGTTTGAATCTGGCCTTAAATAGATGATATATGAGAACTTGATTCAATTGTTTACAATATTTTAACCTTTTCACTTTATTCTGCACATTAACTGGAGAGCAGCAGGCAGGAACTGAGATGTTCAGCTCAAGATTCAGCACTCCAAGCAAAGGCTTTCCATTACAGTGCTGTGCCCACAGCTTGTTTTTTGCGCCATCTGGTGACTAAAATTAGTTACTGCGTAACCTGCTTCTAAAAGAAAATTATTTCCAAATTAGCCTGGAACTCCTTACAAACATCCAACCACAGACAATTGCCTTCAAAAAAGAATGTATTTTTCAAAAAGTAATCTTTTTATGATTAGTAAAATGTACAAATAAAAAAATAAGATATATATATAAAGATATATATAGTGTACAGCATCTTCAGTCACCGCCTGATCTTTCATATTTTACCTGTAAACAGCCATACCTTTTTTGTAGTCATTAAAAGTTATCTGAAATACGATTTTATCAGGTCTTCTATAGGTCATTTATGAACGTCTTTCAGTTGCATTTTTCCTCCCACTTTAGGTCCTCTATCTGATTATTTTACTGACAAGGACTCCACTTTGTTTAGGAGAGCACTTAGACATCACCAAAAAGAATCCTGATGCTATCTCCATGTCTCTGCTTGGTGTTTAGATAGCATCAGTTGGTCATTTATTGCCCTCAAGATGCTACAATCTGCTAAAGTCCTTCACCCAGTGTGTTATGAAGAATTTCCTTTTGCTTACCTTACCATCCTCTGGATGAGGACCCACGTTTATCTTGTCTATACATGATAAACTTGGTCCTTATTTAGTTTTGTAGCTATTTGCTTAAAGAAATTGGCATCTGTTTCCTTTATATTCCAAGGAAACAAGAATGGAGTATAGGTAAAAATTTCTAAAATGTGATCAGCTTTAAAATACAATGGAAAAAAAATAACGGTTAGCTACGTTTTAACCGTATCGATGTACTCTCGAAAAAGGCTCATTATTTTCTAAAAGATTTCAGTGTAAGATAAGTCAACTGCAAATATTTATTTCCTTATTTCAAAGGGGAATTGGCTTTCAAGTGTTGTATGCCTTCTATGGAGCAAGTGGGTAAAAGTTCTTTTGATCTTGAATTTCAATATAAGGACCATGGAAGACAGATGAAAGCTGGGCCTTCTGATCCTTCTGACTTATTGAGTTTTAAGCAGGAGTTGTAAGGAAACTGTTAGCCTATTAATTGTGAATTAGCTTTTTTCGTCAGTGTCAGCCCTTCCTTTCATTGGGAAGCAGAACTCGCCAAGCGTTGGATTATTCTCCACTAATAGGGAACGTGAGCTGAGTTTAAAGCATAGTGACACAGATTAGTTTAACCATACTTAATCTATCTCAATGTAATACCAATAAAAATACAAATAAAAACAATAAAAAGATTTAAAAGCCCAAAACCCCTTAATAATGGAGATAGGTGTGTGTCTAGAGAGATAAACAGGCTCTAAGACTGAGGTGGGCTTGCTGCCATTCTCCCTTCCACTAGTGGTACGCTGCCATAAATACCAAAACAATTAAGAAATATGTTCCACAGCGGTTTAGGATTAAAAACAATTTGATTAATTTTAATGAAAAACACACACACACACACACACATACACACATACATACATACTGTACATACATACATACATACATACCGGTACATACATATTTATCCTAATTAATAACAGAAGTGTAAAGAGAAATTCCTTTTCAACGTACCCACCCAGACGACATCATCTAGTAGAAGCCTATCCTCCCAATAATACCAGCTTTCACCTGTTAGTGGATTGCCAGCTTTCATACTTTCTGGAGGCAGCAGTTGAGGCTGAGCATCTTCTACAAGAACAAACCAGTGAAGCCTTGTTCTCTTCCAGCTCTTCAGATTCCTTCATTCTCTATGAAGACAAATAACTCCACCTTAATCAATGCGTCTAGGAAACTGGTGGATCAGCTGGTCCACTGGTGTGATCAGAACCCCCTGGAGCTTGATTCACTGAGGAATTTAAAATGAAGAAAAAAAATAAGCACTACCTTCCATCACCATCCTAAACAATGCTGTTTAAACTCAGAGCACTGCCTTCCTTTACATCTGACACACACATAGTTCCGAAGAAGGCCTATTGGAGGCAGTACTTCCCGCACCACCTCAGGAACTAAAACCCTCCAGCAAAGCCACTGGACATCTTCTACACTGCCACTATTCAGTCTGCTTTGTGACCATCACTGTGTGGTTTGACTCTGAAACAAAAGAGTTCAGATTCCATTGAACAATTAGTTCTGCAGAGGTGATCATCAGAATCCATCCAGAAATTGAACAGGTCGAGGATAAGGACACAACTTACATCTCTGGCAACCCCACACATCCTGCAAAGTAAACTGCTTAGACTTTTAGACTCTGGATGGTGTTACAGAGGGTTGTTTGCTAAGATGAGCTGATGAACATTATAAAAACTTTGAACCCTAAGTAATCAACAAATAGATTCATTAGATCAGAGGTAATCTAAAAAGAAAGTCCAGGAATCATAATGCATGATTTTCTTAACATTTTTTTTGTATGATACAGGTGCAAATAGGCATTTAAAGACCTGAGGAAATCAATGTTAATATTTGGTACATTAGCTTTTGTTTGTAATTCCAGAGGTCAAATGTTTCCTGTAGTTTTCCATCAGGTTTGCAAACACTGCAGGAGGGATTTTGGCCCACTCCTCATCACAGATCTTCTCTAGATCAGTCAGGTTTCTGTGCTATCGCTGAGAAACGCCAAGTTTGAGCTTCCTACAAAAATTATCTATTGGGTTTAGGACTGGAGACTGGCTAGGCCACACCACCTTGATATGCTTCCTCCAGAGCCACTCCTTGGTTATCCTGACTGTGTGCTTCAGGTCATTGTCATGTTGGAAGACCCAGCCTCGACTCATCTTCAATGCTCTAACTGAGGGAAGGAGGTTGTTCTGCAAGATCTCACAATACATGGCCCCAGTCATCCTCTCCTTAATACAGTGCAGTCGCCCTTTACCATGTGCAGAAAAACAGCCACAAAGCATGATGCTACCACCCCCATGATTCATAGTAGGGATGATGTTCATTCTTCATTCTTCTTCCTCTAAACATTGTTAGTGGAATTATGACCAAAAATCTCTTCTTTGGTCTCATCTGACCACATGACTTTCTCCCATGACTCCTCTGGATCATCCAAATGGTCATTGGCAAACTTAAGAAAGGCTTAAGCTTAAGGTTTGAGCAGGGGAAACTTCCATGCCATGCATGATGTTATACCATGACTTCTTAATGTATTACCAACAGTAACCTGGAATTGGTGGTCCCAGGTCTTTTCGGGTCATTGACCAGCTCCTCCAGTGTAGTTCTGGGCTGATTGATCACCTCTCTTAGGAGG